CTATCAGAATGGCTAAAATCAAAAACACAAGAAACAATGGATATGGAGCAAAGGAACCTTTGTGCACTGTTGGTAGCAATGTAAACTAGTATAGCTGTTGAAAACAGTATGGAGGTTACTCAAAAAAAAAAAAAAAAAAAAGAATTACCATATGATCAAGTAATTCCACCCAGTAGTGGAAGAAGTGCCCTATGTTTAGGGCAGCATTATTTACAATAGCCCAGATATAGAAGCACCCCAAGTGTCCACAAATTGATGAATGGATAAAGAAGGTATGGTATATACATACAATGGAATATCACTCAGCCTTAAAAAAGAATGAAATCCTGCCATTTGCAACAACACACATGGAACTAACTAGATGGTATAATGCTAATAAATGAAATAAGTCAATCAGAAAAAGACAAATACCATGTGATTTCACTAATATATGAAATTTAAGGAAAAAAAAACACAAATGAACAAGAAAAAAAGAAATAACAAAAACCAGATTCTCAATTATAGAGAACAAACTGATGGTTAGGAGAGGGGAGGTGGGTGGAGGGACGTATGGGTGAAATAGGTAAAGGGGATTAAGAAGAGTACACTTATCTTGACGAGCACTGAGTAATGTACAGAATTGCTGAATTATTACATTGTACTCCTGAAACTAATAGAACACTGTATATTAACTATACTGGAATTAAAATTAAAAAAAAACCTTTCATTATTATTATTTTTGTTAATGGCAATCTGTTATCAGTGATAATGACTTCCTAAAAGCTCAGATAATGATTAGCAGTTTTTCAGCAACAGTTTTTTTTTAAGTAAGACATGTACATTGTTTTTTAGACATAATGCTATTACATACTTAATAGACTACAGCATAGCGTAAACATAACTTTTATAATGCATTGTGAACCTAAAAAGTTCATTTGACTTGCTGTATTGTAGTATTCATTTCATTGTGATGGTCTGGAATTGAACCTGCAAAATCTCTGAGGTATGTCCAAATAGATCTAAAGAGAGAAGCTGAGAGCAATTTTCATTGCTTCATTACTGAAGTAGGTAACTTCAGTACTTCACTTACAATAATGGGTAATGAATCTAGACATAAAAATAAAGAAAGAAACAGCTGACTTGAACAACACGATAGATCAACTGGATCTAGCAGACATACACAAAACTTTCCATCCATCAAAATAAAACACATTTTCTCCAGTATACACATTACTGTCCTGGATAAATCTTATGTTAGGTCACAAAACAAATCTTAAATTTAAGAAGACTGAAATCATTCTGAGTATCTTTTCTGAACTATAAATCAACACAGCAAGAAAATAGGAAAAATCACAAAAATGTGGAAGCTAAACAACAAAGTTGAATAAACACTGGGTCAGAAAGGAAAAGTAACGTACAAAGTATCTTGAGTCAAGTAAAAGCAAAAACCCAATGTACTGAAAGTTACGAGATACAGCACAAGCAGCATTAGGAGGAAGTTTATAGCAATAATGCCTACATTAAAAAATTTAAAAAATCAAATAAACAAGTTTACATCTTAAGGAACTAGAAAAAGAAGAACTGAGCCAAGAAGGTAGGAAATAATACAGGTTAGAGCAGAAATAAATGTAACAGAGAAGAGAATACAAAAATGAATAAAATTAACAGTTGGTGTTTTGAAAAAATAAACAAAATGAACAAATCCCTTTTAGACTAAAAAAAGACAAAAGACTCAAAATAAAAAATGAAAAGAGATATTACAACAGATTCTTCACAAATAAAAAGGTCATAAAGGATTAATATGAACAACTATACAAACAAATTCACCTAGAAGAAATGGATAAATTCCTAAAAATATACAAGATGAATAAATAGATGAATGGATAAAGAAGAAACAGAGGGGCACCTAGGTGGCTCAGTTGGTTAAGCATCTGATTCTTCATTTTACAGTTGTGAAATCAAGTCCTGTGTCGGGCTCTGCACTGGGCGTGGAGCCAGCTTAAGATCCTCTCTCTCTCTCTCTCTCTCTCTCTCTCTCTCTCTCTCTGCCCCTTCCCCCTCTTGTGTGTGCATGAGCACACGCGCACTCTCTCTCAAAGAAAAAAAAAAAAGGAAGAAGAAGAAAGAGAAAGCTTAAACAGACTAATGACAAATAAGGAGATTGAATCAGTAATCAAAAATCTCCTGACAAAGAAAAGTCCGGGGTGACATGGCTCAACAACCGAATTCTACCAAACATTTAAAGAATACCAATCTTTCTTGAACTCCTTCAAAAAATGGAAAAAAGGGGGCGCCTGGGTGGCGCAGTCGGTTAAGCGTCCGACTTCAGCCAGGTCACGATCTCGCGGTCCGTGAGTTCGAGCCCCGCGTCAGGCTCTGGGCTGATGGCTCGGAGCCTGGAGCCTGCTTCCGATTCTGTGTCTCCCTCTCTCTCTGCCCCTCCCCCATTCATGCTCTGTCTCTCTCTGTCCCAAAAATAAAATAAAAAACGTTGAAAAAAAAAAATTAAAAAAAAAAAAAATGGAAAAAAGAACATTTCCAAACTCATTTTGTGAGACCACCATCACCCCGATTGTAAATCCAAAGAAAGACATCACAAGAAAAGAAAACTATAGGCTAATATCCTTGATGAACACAGATTCAAAAATTCTTAAAGACCAGCAAACTGAATTTAATAGCACATTTAAAAGGATCTTATATCATTAACAAGTAGGATTTATCCCTGGGACACAAGGTTGTTTACATGCAAATCAATCTAGGTAATACACCATACAAAGAAATGAAAGGAAAAAAAACCATATTAGCATATCAAAAAACAGAGAAAAAACATTTGACAAAGCTCAACATTCATTCATGATTAAAATTCTCAACAAAATAGGTATAGAAGTAAATTTCCTCAATACAATAAAGGCATATATGAAAAGCCCATAGCTAACAACACAATCAATGGGGGAATACTGAAAGCTTTCCCTGTAAGATCCAGTAGAAGGCAAGGGTGCCCACCATTACCACTTCTATTCAACATACTATTGGAAATGTTATCCAAGGCAATTAGACAAGAAAAAGAAATAAAAGGTATCTAAAACTGAAGGGAAAAAGTAAAATTATGTTTGCAGATGACATGATTCTATAGGTAGAAAACCCTAAAGACTCAACTAAAAAAAAAACAAAAAACTGTTGGGGCGCCAGGGTGGCTCAGTTGGTTAAGTTGCCAACTCTTGATTTCAGCTCAGGTAATGATCTCACCGATTGTGAATTTGAGCCCCAAGTCGGGCTCTGTGCTGACAGCATGGAGCCTGCTTGGTATTCTCTCTCTCCCTCTCTCTCTCCGCCCCTACCCTGCTTGTGCTCAAACTCTCTCAAAAATAAATAAATAAACATTAAAAAATAAAAATTAAAATAAAAATTAAAAACCTATTAAAACTAAAAAAGTTAGTACCATTGGAGGGTTCAAAATCAACATAGTTTCTATACATGAACAATGAATTATCTGAAAAGAAAATTTAAAAATACTTAGGAATAAACTTAACCAAAGAGCTGAAAGACTTGTATACTAAATATTATAAAACATTGATGGAAAAAAAAGAAGATACAGATGTATGGAAAAACATTCCATATTCATGGATTGAAGAATTAGTACTGTTAAAATGTCCCTAGTATCCAAAGTGATCTACAGATTCAATGCAGTTCCTATCAAAATCCCAATGGTATTCTTTACAGAAGTACCAAAAAAATCCTAAAATTCATACATAACCACAAAGACCCTGGACAGCCATAGCAACCCTGAGAAAGAATAATATTGGAAGCTTATGATAGGAAAAGATAGGATTCAGTAGGCAGAGAGAGAAAGGTTGGGACCGGAGGTCCCTGGATGGGGAAAAACACATATTTTAGAACAATGCTGGGAGTGTCTGACCACAGCAAATCCCCTTGGCATAAGGCTCCTCCTAAGAATGTAAGAGACACCACTTACTCCCCTCAGGTTTTCCTCAGGAATTTGATAAAAGACCTAACTAAAAATAAGTAGACCATAAAACACATGACCCACAAGGAATGATATGGCCACACCCCTCATACAATGGAACTGAGTCAATCAGAAATGGACAACTCAGCATCTAAAGCTATCAAGCCAATAATGGTAGAACCTGAGAACGATTAAGGGGGAAGGAAGTGGATGGGGGGGCACCACTAGAACCTTATAAAACAAAGTCCATTGCCTAAAGTCTGTGGGCATTCGAAAGTGAATGTAAACAGCTTTCATACTATTCTTCCTTTCTGCTCTTATACTCTAATAAACTTTTGCTTGCTGCTCATTTTGTGTATACCTCTTCATTCCTGAAGTGGTGAGATAACAAACCCCGTGTAATGAAGTAAAAATTCCTGCAAAAGCATCACACTTCCAAACTTCAAAATATGCTACACAAAACTAGAATAATGAAAACAGTATGGTACTGGCATAAAAACAGGCATTTAGACCAATGGGTAGTACAGAGGACACAGAAATATATCCATACGTCTATAGTTAACTGGTCTTAAACATGGTATCAAGAATACACAATGGAAATAGAACAGTTTCTTCAATAAATGGTACTGGGAAAACTGGATATCCAGAAGCAGAAGAATGAAAATGGACTCTTAAACTACATAAAAAAGTAAACTCAAAATGGATTAAAGACTTAAACGTAAGACCTGAAAATCCTAAAACTCCCTAGAAGAAAACATTGAGAGAAAGCTCCTTGACATCAGTGTTGGCAATTGTTTATTGGATATGATACCAGAAGCACAGGCAACAAAAATTACAAGTGAGACTACTTCAAACTAAAAAAGTCTCTGGACAGCAAAGGAAACAAGGTGAAAAGGCAATTTATATTACAGAAAAGAGGCTACAATGATATAATATGTATTATTTATACCTCATTATATCATTGTATCATTTATACTTCAGCAAAAGTGATTAACATTTTAAAAATAAAAACCAGAATACGCAGTTGAAAGAGAGTCACATGGTAAGGTCTGCTTACCCACTGAGACCAGATGGCTGTAGTTCTCCAGCATCACATCTCTGTACAGGGTCCTCTGAGCAGAGTCCATTTGCCGCCACTCCTCCTGGGTGAACTCCACAGTTATGTCCTTGAATGACACTGATGCCTGTTAACAGCACAATTCTAATAAATCTGTCCAGAATCAGGGACATGGAAAAAACTTTTGGAAACTAAGTCTTACTATGTTTACTGTTTTAGAGTTTAAAACAAAATGCTATAAAGGATATAACTAGCATGGCCCTAACTCTGTCTTATACTTTGGGGATATGCACATGATTAGTAAAAAAAAAAATATATTCTCGTGCTTGGGTTTATTTATATTTACTTTTTTTTAAAGTTTGAGAGAGAGAGAGAGAGAGAGAGAGAGAGAGAACATGTGCACGCACATGGGGAGGGGCAGAAAGAGAGAGGGGGAAAGAAGGAATCTCAAGCAGGCTCCGTGCTGTCAGCATAGAGCATTACATAGGGCTCGAACTCACAAACCAAGAGATCATGACCTAAGCTGAAATCAAGAATCGGACACTTAACTGATTGAGCCACCAACGCTCCCCTACTTATATTTACTTTTAATTTACATACATATATTGTCACTTAATATAATAAGAAAGCTTAATGTCTTTTTTTTTTAGGTAAAGTTATTACAAATAGGATTCCTGTATACATTTCCCCTACACAAACAGATTACACTGAGCACTCTGTAGATTATACACATTCCAACCTGGAGATCTGTGCGGGGGTAATAGAGAACCAATGAAGAGATACATGTAAGACTGGGGGAGTATTTACCCACCACCAGACTCATATTTCAGGAGCAATGCTTTAGAACAGGATTCCTTCAACCCAGCACTACCAACAATGTGGACTAGATAATGCTATTTTTGTGGAAGACTGTCCTGTATGTTTTAGGATGTTTATCAATATCCCTATCTTCTACTGATTAGATGCCAGCCACATGCCCAGTTGTGACCATCAAAAATATCTCCAAACATTGCCAAATGTCTTCTGGGGAGCAAAATTGACTCCAGTTAGGAATCACTGATCTATATTAACAGTGGACAATGTCTTAAACAGCAAAACAAAAGACCCAATTTAAGACATAAATTATACTCAGGCATGATGAAAAATGGGAAACTAATCCCTACAAGAAACAAAACCTGGTCATTATTTTCATGTGCAACTATATACAGAGATGCTACACAAGCAACTGGGTATACTGATGTCATATGCAGAGACTGGAAGAACAATTAAGGATCAGAGGTTGGCTCATGGTGAGGCAGATGTTCTTCATTTGTACTCAAAACACCTGTGGAACATACAGATGGAATTATTTATTTCATTGCTGGTTGCATGATTTTGGAACAGAGAGAGGTCTAAAATGAAAATGAAGATTTTAAAGATGATAACTGAAGTCATCAGAGAAAAAGGAATGGCTCAAAAAGAACAGAGAAACAGGAAAGAAAAGGACCAAGTAAGGAATTCAAGGAAATACCAAAATTTAAGAGGCAGGTAGAAAAAGAAAGGCCATGAAGGCTGAGAAAGAATTCTGAAATAGCAGAAGGAGAAATTGGAAAGACTAGAGTACTAGAAATTAAGAGAAAAGAGAATTATAAGCATGATTCCTCTAGTTCAAGGAATAGACTGAGTACATCCCTGCCTTCAAACCACAGTCAGGTAAAATACAAAACCTACTATAAAAGCATGACAAAAGAGAAACACAGGGAAATACCCCAGCAGAAGGCCTGAAAATCTTAACAAATTCTGGAAGACAGTGGGTAAGATGGTATTAGATAAGCAAAACAGGACAATGCTGGTCACAATCTAATACAAACATAGAAGTGGGCAGAAGTAGCAGGGAAATGATAAGAGTGTGAAAAGACATCCAAGATGACCTAGAACCAAGTGTGTAATAGGAAGAATAATTAACAGAGTAAATTTCTTATTTGAATACAGGTGACATCATTCAAATGAGTGAAAAAAGACTATACAAAAAAAATGTCACAGGGTAACCAGATGGCCATCTGAGAAAAGACTAATCTATACCTTGTACCATACAGCAGGATAAAAATTAAAGTGGGGGGTGCATGGGTGGCTCAGTCAGTTAAACGTCCAACTTCGGCTCAGGTCACAATCTCATGGTTCGTGAGTTCGAGGCCCACATCGGGCCCTCTGCTGTCAGCACAGAGCCTGCTTCAGATCCTCTGTCCCCTCTCTCTGCCCCTCCCCAGCTCATGTGCATGCCCTCTCTCTCTCAAAAATAAATAAAACATTAAAAAAAAATAAAATGTATTCAAGATCTAAATGTAAAAAATAAATTCCAGAGTACTACACAGAACAATTATTTTACAATGTTAGAGTGGGAAATACCCAACTATGACTGAAAATCTAGGAATCATAAATGAAAAAAAATGCTAAATTTGACATAAAAATCAAAGGCCTTTATGACAAAAAAAAAAAAACATGAGCAAGGCAAAACTGCAAAAAACTTCAGGAAAATTGTGCAATTTATATTACAGAAAAGACGCTATAATGACATACTGGATACAGTAATTAAAATCAGCACATCAATAGGAAAACAGGCAAGGGATAAACAGTTCAACAAGAAAGAAATATAAATGAATTACAAACAAAAAAAAATGTTCCACACCTCACTCATGAGAAGAGAAAGGCTTATAAAACGAAACAGATCTTTAAAATCACATTGGTAAAAATTTGGTAAATTTAACAGCATGCTCTATTTGCAAGGCTGTAGAAAAGAAACACATACTCTCAGACTGTTAGCTCTAACCTAAATTACATCCAGAGTTGGACCACTTCAAAGTAACTAACACTCTTACGATCATCATTTCTTGGTAGGATTATAGAAGTAGGCTCCTATATTGTTCCCACTTCTAGTCTAGAGTCTATCTTCAGATAGTAGACAGTATTATTCTTGTGAACTGTAGTCAAAATTATCCTTTTGACATAGAAAGATAAAACCCAAAACCCTCAAAATCCTCCATATCACCTAACTAAACAGAAAGAGATACTGTGTTCATGAATTGGAAGATTCATTACGATCAAGATGTTAATTCTTCCCAAGTTGATCTACATTACAGACACTGTGGATTCAGTGCAATCAAAATCAAAAGCTCAGCAGGCTTTTTTTGAGATAGACAAGCTGATTTTCAAAACTGTCTACAAAGAAGTAAGGACCTAGAATATCCCAAACAAGTTAGAAAAACAACAAAGTTGGAAGACTCACATTATCTGATTTCAAGAGTTACTGTTAAGAGACAGTCATCAAGGTAGTATGGTATTAGCAAAAGGATTAACACAGATCATCAGAAGTGAATAGAGTCCAGACTCTATTCTGGACTCAGACATGCATTACTAATTGGTTTCCCACAGATGCCAAAGTAACTCAATGGAGAAAGTATATTTTTGTCAAGACAGGGTGCTGAGAGGTGGGTATGCAAAGGTAGAGAGCACAATACAGCAAGTATATGTTCTTCTTTTCCCAATATTTAGAGTCTCCTGCCAGCATAAAATATTAAGACCCTTAGACCCTGAAATTCTAGATTTGGACTGGGCCAACTAGAATCTATTTTGTGTTTTTCTGATTAGCGGCCTTTATGCTAAAATAAAATTTAAAAGCTGATCAAAGAAGGAATTACTAATACAACAAAGATTTTGAAATCCTAAGAGAGTACTATTAATTAGTACATGAAAATACATGTAAAAATGCAAATAAAAATGGACAATTTTCTATGAAAATGTAATGACAAAAATTATATTAAGAAAAAAATACAGGGTGCCTAGCTGGCTCAGTCGGTTGAGCGTTCGACTCTTGATTTCAGCTCGGGTCATGATGCCAGGGTCATGGAATTGCGCCCCTTCCCAGGCTCTGCACTGAGCACGGAGTCTGAGACTCTCTCTCTCTCTCTCTCTCTCTCTCTCCCTCTGCCCCACTCCTTGCTCATGCACACTCTCTCTAAAATTAAAAAAAGGGGGGGGGGGAGGGGGCTGCAAGTCTTTAAAAGAAAAAAATACAAATACAAATCCAGTATAGTCTTATGACTAACAAGTCAACAACCAAACATCCATGCAAAAAACCTGTGTAAGGTCCAACTTTATAAGTGAATTTTACAAAATCCTCATGTAATACAATTTTCTCATCTAAATTCCTAGAAAAGAAAAGCAGAAAAGTTCTCCACTTACTTTCATGAGACTATGACCATGATACCATAATTGGACAGAAAAACAAGAAGGTAGAGTCTAAACCAACTTGTGGATACAGAGATAAAAACCCTGAATATAGCATTAGCAAAAAGCCTGAGGAAAATACGTTAGAAGCAACTTACCACACTTATTAGCAATGAGGATCTATACAGGAATTCAAGTTAAAATTAGAAAATACACCATTTACAGTATTTCTAGATTAAAGGAAATAAGCTATAGTTTTATTCTAATACATACACAAAAGGTAATCAATAATTCAGTGTATATTTATGACTAACATGAAATCTTAGCAAACTGGTACATGGAGGGAACTTAACCCTACCTTAACAAAGGTTTCCTTCCAAAAGCTGAGGGCAGACTTCACAGTTGATAGTAAAACAGTGTATATTTTTACTCAAGATTGATGCAACCTATTTCTTTTTTTTAACTTTTCAATGTTTATTAATTTATTTTTGAGAGAGAGAGAGAGAGACAGAGCACGAGCAGGGTTAAGGGCAGAGGGACAGAGGAAGACAGAGAATCCAGAGCAGGCTCCAGGCACAGAGTCCGATGTGGGGCTTGAACTCATGAACCACGAAATCATGACCTGAGCAGAAGACGGACCCTTAACCGACTGAGCCACCCAGGTGCCCTGATGTGACCTATTTCTAGTTCTCCTTTTCCATTTAATGCACTGATCCTTCTAAACCTCATAAATCCAATATAATAAGTGGGGAATAAATGAAGAGCTCACCTGAGGTGTGTTCATTTTCTGTGGCTCTTGGGAGAGTGCAGAGAACTGTGGTCCAGCTGAGGGGACAGAAAGAAGACAGGGGTCCTGAGATCTGACCTTACAGCTCCTACATTCACTTCTCCAAATCTCAGCACCTCAGTCAAGGATCATTCTCCCTGCAGGCGTGGGGCCCTCTGGACGTTGAAGAGGCATAAGAAGGATCATGTACAGGCAGCACATGTGTGACTCTAAAATGATCATGGGCTTAAATCTGCAGTTTTATACTGAGCAAACATAAATTCTGATTTAACAATAATGCATGTGTCCTTCTGACGGACACAAAGAAAAGCAACAGAAGATTAGCTGAATTAAAATACACCAAAGAATGAGACACTACTTCCAGTAAAATTATCTTGCATGCATCATTTACATTATTTTTCTCAGTAACATTATTTACCGCCTGGTATAGACAATCCACGACAAGCCTACTAAAAGACATCGGCTGCTTCAAGACAGGAAATTTTAATTGTTTGTTTCAGCTGTTATGTATTTTTCAAAAGGCCCCTTTGATAAGATGTTTTTGGTGACTTATGTATGAGAGAGTAAACTGTACTCTCCTCTTTCACAAACTGGGTTTTCCCAGATAAGTCACTCAACCTTTTAGGTTCAATGTCTTTAAAGCTTTCGAAAGAGAAGCAGGTAACTTTAGAAAACACTTTCCTTATCACTGCTCTGAGATCCTGTGAGGTGAGGATAATATCATTAGTGTCACATGTGGTGATGGACAGGTGTGACAGCAGTACAATATCTGCAGAGTGGGGGCCATTTAAGGGAAGCAGAATTTTCTCCCTCTTCCTGGTTAAGGGTACCCCCAGACCTCGCCTTCACAAGCTCTCCAAGAAGTGGCCTCTTCTGAGTAGCCTGTTCCCACCAGGCCACCCCAGCTCACATCACTCTTCTCAAGGCTGGCCCAAACCCCCTACTGTCACACAGTGTGGTGGCTTCTGAAGATGGTGTTATCACTAAGTCTAGCTTATTCTGGACAAGGGGATCAGGAACTGCTTCTGACCCTGAAAATCTAGGATCTGCTCCTTTCTGGGCCCTTCTGTCTTTTTGAAGCTCCAGAGAGAGGTCTTAAGGTCAGAGGCGTCCTCTCTTCCAGGTAAGACTCCTGTTCACAGAGGTCCTCTGCTTCCTACCTCACAAGGGTTTGTTTCAAGGCAATTGGGACATGGACCTAAAAAATAATTCATTTGAGGGGCAAAACTATGACTCTTGGAATTCGTTATAATATCAGACTTAAAGACAGCCTGGCAATGCAGAAGGGGTCAGGAACCTCTGTCTGACCCAAGGGACTGAAAAGACACTAAAAATCTCAGAATACTTTGACACATCATCAGATTCCATCTACATTCACTTTCCCTTATATCCTTGGGGACTTGGGGGCAGGCCACTTTGTGTTGTGCTGTGTTGCAATGCTGGTTTTAGGCAGATGTGATATTTAGACAATGCCTGAGGTTGGAAGTAAAGCACACCTGCCCCTGAATCCAAACTTCCTCACAGCTAGTTTGTGACCTGACAAACTTGACCACATCGTTCAACCAAGCTGAGCCTAGGTTTTGTTTTGTTTTGTTTTAAGCGGTTGAAATGAAATGAAAAGAACACAGTGTCTTCTAACTATAAGAGCAGTTGTTATTTACTCAGTGAGTAGGGCTTGGCACTTGTCTAAGTTATGACTTCGATCTAAGTTTCAAATCAACCCCATGGAGCAGTCATATTAATAATATCATTTTGAGATGAGAAACCTGACTCTCTGCCAGATTCCTTCCATCGTCTCTGCTGAAATGTACCCGGGCCTTTTCTGGCTCCGAAGCTCAGGCTGTCACCGCAGACTCACGGTCCCCAACACCTTTATAAATGCACTTTCCCTCCCGCCAACACTAAGTCGGGCAGTAGGCCGGCCCGACCACACGGTCCCGGCACACCTAGGCTCTCACCGAGCACCTGCTCAGAACCGGGCTCAGCCCCATCGGCGCGCCCCAAGTCCGAGGGCCGGGGTTCTTCAGTCTACGCCCCCACCGGCCTTCCGGCGGCCGAGGGCTGGCCGGGGCGCCTACCAGGGATGTCCCAAAGATTTCCCGCTTCCATCCCCAGACGCAAGCGCATCTCTCCCATAGAGACCTCCCCTGGACTCTCACCCCAGGTGCGCATCCTTTACTTTCGGAGCAAACCTGTGGGCTCCCAAACGGCTGGCCAGCAGATCCGAGACGAATGAGGAGGCGGGGCTACGACTACGCTAGCGCAGAAGGAGGCCCGAATTCTCTTCCCAGAGTGCCACGCGGTGAAGCCTAAGGATTCAAGACTACGTTTCCCATAGATCTCCACGGCCACTTTTGAAGTCTCTCTTTTGGCATTTCCGCATTTTAGAAAGCTAGAGGTTGGTGTTCTTAATAGTCTCCTGCCCAGGTTTTCTCTGGGCCCAAATAGGTTAAGGGTGAAACTTGAATAGAGGGTGCTCCTCTATTGGCTATCGACTGATGTATTTTCCTCCCTCAGGATATTTGGAGACAAGGGGGAAATGTGAATATGGATTGAATATTGAAAATACTAAAATGATGGTTACTTAGGTGAAGTGTGAAAAAAAATTGAAGTTATGTAATTGACTGTGTAAAAAAAAATTGGCGTGACAACTGATTTAGGATTGAAATGATATAGCTGTAAAATTATAATTTTATAATTTTTCAACCTGGGACTTCCATCCTGTCTCTTTATCGCCACAGGTCCTGCTGCCCTTGGAGCTCAATTTAGAGGTTCTGCTGGGGGTCAAGACGGGTGCTGCAGTTGTAAATGTATATGTTTAAGTTGGTTTAACTTAACCAAAGTTAAAGTTAAAGCTGTTGGTTTAATACACTAACCTTGTTGGTGAATTTATATTAAATCAATCAGTCATAATTGACTTTAACATAAAGATCGCTAATGGAGAGAAAGTGGTCACTACATATGTTCATGTAAGAAACATTTATTGATAACCTGCTGTGCAAGAGACATCATTCTAGATGCTGGGATAAAAACATCAAATAAAAGAGATTAAATTCCCTATCCCCATGGACTTTGTGACCAGAATTGTTTTGAACATGAGGAGACTAATAGGTCTCCTCAAGAAAGAGGTGTCAGTTGTCAAGAAACAATAGGACCTTGAGGAGAGTCTAATAAACAGGCCTTGAAAAACATGGGTAGGGTTGGGAAAGTGTCCTGTAACTAGTAATGATATGGAGGCATTATCACCACCAGGCCCATAGTGACTATAGGTAATTACCAGAATCTGGCAGAAAAGGCCACTCTTATGAGAGCTGTGGCCTTAGGAAGAGAAACATCATAATGGCTGTTACATGGCTCAGCACAGAGAGCCAAAGGAATAAATATCCAAACCTCACTGTACTCTTCCCTCTAATGCCCTATCCTCAGTTAAGTATTTATAAACCTCATTCAATACCTGTTCTAGAATTCCATCCACACATATCTTCTCCAGACCTTTTTGTCACCAAATTTCAAGTCTTGTCTAGCACCCTACCACTGAACAACTAATTGAAATATTGGACATGAATTCATATAAATATAAACTTAAGACATATCTCTTCTTCACAAAGTGAGTAACTAAATATACCTACTTAAACTCTGCCCACTGGGAAGATTTCAACACACATTTCAGAGCCACTGCTAAGTGAGACTGTAATTGCAGAAGCCATACTTCCAATGATGACACTCTACATTGTAGACTCAATTTGAAGTAAATTTGACTGGTATATAGTCACAGGTCTCCCTAGGGGACTCTTGGGGAATGATTAATTGTATGTACTTATGACTAAGTTATGAGGAATTTTGTCAAAGGAACCCAGTCTGCCCTTCAGTCAAAGCTTCCTGTCTGTAAAGTAGGAGATACCAAGGACTGGGAAAGAGTATCTGAATCCCTGTTATAATCACTTGTGTTAGTTTTCTTCCCATGAGACCCAGAATTTCTTTTTTTTCTTTAAGTTTATTTATTTATTTATTTATTTAGAGAGAGAAAGAGGCAGAGAGAGGGAGAGAGAGAATCCCAAGCAGGATCTGCACTCTCAGTATAGCAGAGGCTGACACAGGGCCTGATCTCATGAACTGTGAGATCAAAACCTGAGCCCAAATCAAGAGTTGGATGCTTAACCAACTTCGCCACCCAGCTCCCTGCCCCAAGACCCAGAATTTCATATATAGATATATATCTTAAGAAATATCTTAATAAGGTAGCCACCTACTTAATTTCAATGGATCAAAGAGCCACCACTGCAGATCTCTTCAGGTCACCAAAAAAAGATGAATTCACATGAGAACTACTCAGAGGGCTTTTAAAAAATATTTGTCAGGATCCCATTAGAGAAACACAGGCATATCTCAAAGATATAGTGGGTTTGGTTCCAGGCTACCACAATAAAGTGAATATTGCAATAAAGTGAGTCAAATGAATTTTTTTTGTTTCCCAATGTATAACACTTATGTTATATTTATACTATATTGTTTGATAAATGAGCAATAGCATTATGTCTTAAAAAACAATGTACATATCTTAATTAAAAATATTTTATAGCTATAAAGTGCTAACTATCATCTGAACTTTCAGCAACACATAATCATTGATCACAGATCACCATAACAAATAGAATAATAAAGTTTGAAATATTGTGAGAATTACCAAAGTGTGACACAGAAGCATGAAGTGAGCAAATGATGTTGGAAAATGGTGCTAATAGACTTGCTCAATGCAGGATTGACACAAACCTTCAATTTGTAAAAAACACAATATCTGCAAAGTGCAATAAAGTGCAATAAAATGAGTTATGTCTGTATATATTTCTTTGGTATGAAATGCACCATGGGTTGCTCCTGAGTCCACAGTGAATATACACCTATTGATAAATTTGGCCTTGTCCAAAAACAATTCATCCTTCTTGGCCTAATACCCTAAGGATCCACCTTCATATATGCTACCTAGTTTCTGCTTATACTATTGAACAAGATCTTGAGTTCGTGTGTGTGTCTGTGTGTGTGTGTGTGTGTGTGTGTGTGTGTGTGTGTGTGTTTTAATTTCTGGATTAGCCCTTGCAATTTTCCTTCTGAGCATAGCTGGGTTTTTATTCTCACTATAGGCCTGGAGCCAGCAAGGGAGGTTGTACAGGCAAAGACTGAGGACAGCGTGCATTCCTTTTTAGGGGTAAGTTGTATTAGGGCCACCCCTTAGGATTTAGAGAGAAAGAGAGCCACTGTCAGAAGTCAGTTAATATTCTTTTTTTTTTCTCAAGCTCCTCTGACAGCACCCAAATAAATCAAAGCCTTAAAATTGCAGAGTGTGCCAAATACAATGAAACCTGAACTACCTGTAAACATCAAAGCCTAATTTGCTTTTTTTTTTTTTTTGAGAGAGAGAGAGAGAGACAGGGAGAAGAGAGAGACAAAGAGGAGAGAGAGAGAGCACAGGAAGGGGGGGGACAGAGGAGAGAAGAGGGAGGGGGCCTTGGAATCCAGAATCTGAAGCCAAGACCCAGGCTCTAGGCTGTCAGCACAGAGCCCCAGATGTTAAGAACTCAGAACCCACAGACCGTGAGATCATGATCAGGTAAAGTGGGATCCCTGGCCTGACTAGGCCCCCAGGTGCCCTAACTTTGCTTTTGATCAGTTGTACACCAAGGGCAAAAGTCTTACAGAGCAGAGAATAGCCTAATTGACCAACTACTAATAGACCATATCCTTCTTTCTGATAATAACTGGGCTTCCTGGATACCAGATAAATCCCACCCTAAGTGAAGTAATATAATTTCCTTACCTTGATCTTTTTTTTTTTTTTTTTACTGTTTAAATGTTTCTTAAATTTTTATTTTTTATTTATTTTTAAATTTACATCAGTTAGTTAGCATATAGTGCAGCAATGATTTCAAGGTAATTTCATGGCCATGCTCATTTATCCATTTGGCACCTCCCACCACACCCCTCCAATGTGTTTGTTCCTCCTTATTTAAAGTCTCTTATGTTTTGTTTCCCTCCTGTTTTATATTATCTTTGCTTCCCTTCCCTTGTTCATCTGCTCTGTGTCTTAAAGTCCTCATATAGGTGAAGTCATATGATAGTTGTCTTTCTCTAACTGACTAATTATATGCTTATAATAGTTCTATCCATGTAGTTACAATGGCAGCATTTTCATTCTTTGATTGCGGGAAGTAATACTCATTGTTATATATATACCACCTCTTCTTTATCCATTCATCCATGGACATTTGGAGAAACTCTTTTCATTCTTTGGCTACTGTGACGGTGCACTATAGAGCATGGGGTGCATGTGCCCCTTGAGCAACATCCCTGTATCCTTGGATAAATACCTGGAAATTACAATTGCTGGGTCACAGGTAGTTCTATTTTTAATTTTTTGAGGAACATACTGTTCCCCAGGGCTGCGCAGTTTGCATTCCCACCAGCGGTGCAAAGAAAAGATCTTTCTCTCTGCATCTCGCCAGCATCTGATGTTGCCTGAGTTGACAATATTGGCATTCTGACAGATTGTGAGGTGGTATCTCATTGTGGTTTTGATTTCTATTTCCCTGATGATGAGTGATATTAGACATTTTTTTCTGTATCCAGTTGGCCATCTGGTTCCTTGGAGGGCATCTATTCATGTCTTTTGCCCGTTTCTTCACTGAATTATTTGTTTTTTGGGTGTTGAGTTTGCTAAGTTCTTTATAGATTTTGGATACTAACCCTTTGTCAGTAGTCATTTGATATCTTCTCCCATTCAGCTAGTTGCCTTTAGTTTTGCTGGTGTTTCCTTCACTGTGCAGAAGCTTTTATTTTATTAAGTCCCCAATAGTTCACTTTTGCTTTTGTTTCCCTTGCCTCTGGAGAAGAAGTTTCTGTAGCCATGGTCAAAGAGTTTTTTACCTGCTTTCCTCCTTGAGGATTTTAATGGTTTTCCTGTCACGGGTCTTTCATCTGTTTTCATTTATTTTTGTGTATGATGTAAGGTCTGGGTTCATTCTTCTGCATGTGGCTGTCCTGTTTCCCAGCACCACTTGCTGGAAGGAGACTGTCTTTATTCATTGGATATTCTTTCACCTTTGTCAAAGATGCGTCACCTTGATCTTGACCTTACTCTAATCCTCTGCAGGGATTGGGAGGTGTAATTACTGACATGT